ACAGCACTGGGACATGGTAGTTTGTGCGTTCGTCCTCCAAATCGCGCCCTCGCCGATACTCTGCTTCCGCGGCCGCCGTGCGCAGTCGCGCGCTACCGCCGGTCGGTCCCGCGCCGAATCCCGTCGCTATCACCCTCCCCGCGTCCCTAGCAGCCTCCCCGGGACGTCGCCATGGCCGCTCCCCTCCTCTCTCCCCCTTTTCGCTGCGCCGCCCCTTCCGCCGCCGCGAGCCCAAGTCCGGCGACCATCGGGTCCCGCGTCACCGCGTGCGCGTCGCAACTCCTTTCCGCGTCAGCTAAGCCCGAGCCCGCGCGCCCTTAGCTCTCCTCGCGCGCGGCCACGTCGGCGTGCCCCCGAGATTGGTCGCCGCCGCCAGCCGCCGTCGTTCCTTCCCCGGCTAATCCGCTCCATTGAATTGTTTCCCCTTGACCTCCTCTAGCCGCCGGTGTCCACCTCTCTCTCTCTCCCGCCGCCGTTCGCCGGATTGCGTCGCTCGCCGCCGGCCGTCCGATGCCATTCCCGGCCTCCTCTCCCTTCCCCATCCGACGTGGCGTCCACGTGGATGCCACCTCAGCCGCCCGGCCCCGCGGAGACCGGTCAAAGGTCTCCCGGTCCACCAATCCATCGTGCCGCCTTGCGTGCACCCGGCCCGCGTGAGCCGTGTCGCCGCCTTGTGGGTCCCACCTTGCGCCCGGCACGGTGGACCGCGTCCAGCGGCTTGCGTCGCGTGGGCCGCGCCTAGCTTGGCCTTGGGCCGCCTCCATCCCGCGCGCCGGCCCGCTCGCCTCGGCCACGCTCGCGCATCTCTTTAGGGCCGCACCAATGCCACCCGAGACAAGTCCAATTCACATCCCTCATCCCTTTTCTTTTCAAGGGATTTAATAAATCCTTTTTCCTTTGTTCCATAAATCTTTTCTCTTGGTCCTGCACGTCAGTGACTGTCAATAATATTCTTGAGAATATTATTTCTATAAATTCCATAAACCATTCCTCGTATTCCAGAAAATTCCGATAAATCATTTCCTCATCCAGAAAAATCCATTAACCTTCCAAAATTCCTATCTTCTCAACCGCTCGTCCGATTGACCCCGTTCCACTTCCAATAATTCCGAAAAATTGAGATCTATTTAATGGCACTATTAATTAGTCTAAATAGGGTTTTTCTTTTGGTCTTTTGTTTAGGTTTTCGATTGTTTGCGTATAGTCCATTTAATCCCCCCTTTTGTACAGTACACCCATGGTCCTGCTCGCCAGTGAGTGTCAATAATATTCTTGAGAATATTATTTCTATAAATTCCATAAACCATTTCTCGTATTCCAGAAAATCCCGATAAATCATTTCCTCGTCCGGAAAATCCCATTCAAGCTTCCAAAATTCCTATCTCCTTAGTCGCCCGTTCGATTGCTTCCGTTCCACTTCCAGTAATTCTGTAAAATTGTGATCTATATAATGGCACTATTAATTAGGCTAAATAGGTTCTTTCTTTTGGGTCTTGTGTAGGTTTTTCATTGTTTGCGTATAGTTGCGGTTACCGGATTTTCGTCGATCGCGGGTTTTCTCGAAGATTCGTGAAGCTTCGTGAAGACCTTGAGCAAGGCAAGTCATCCTTTGACCAATTGCTCCTATAATTGGACAATCATTATTATTTTGTTTGCAACTTGCATTATTAGAATCACTCACGTTTAACTTGCTTGGCCTCGGTTTGCGTGCCAAACCGACGGACCTACCCAGTAGTCGCACTAATTCCTGTAAGCCGTACTACCCTGACTCCTTGTCGCTCCACCCTTGTGGTACCTCGGTATCCGTGCTCTCTGAGCGCGTATACCAAATATCCCACATACACCGTTGTTTGTCGAAAACTTGGGAAATGGGTTTGAAAAGCCTTGAAAACCCGACATGTGGTGTCGGCGTGTTTGAAAATAAAATAAATTGTGAAAACTTGCGATGTGGGGGTTGTGCCTGTGTGGCACTGTCCCGTATTCGCATATAAGGACCGATTCCTGTGGGAAATTCATCCGAGCATATAACAAGTGCGACCACACGGGTGCAATGGGACGCTCCTGGCTGAGTAAATAGCAAACCAGGGAAGCCTTAATGCCAAGAGACATGTGGATTTAACGGGGTGGTGTCGGGTAGAACCCTTGAGCTTCCTGGCACAGTATGGTCTGGGACCTAACCTGTTGTCGATCTGGGACCCCTCTCGTTGGCATATGGCGACCCTGTGTCGGCTTTCGAAATGCCTTGTCATGAAAGCCTTAAGGTCTCCTGACGTGGTTGATCTCACGGGCTGGGTGATCCGGGTTAGTAATGTCGTGTGGGTAAAGTGTACCCCCTCTGCAGAGGTTAACTAACTGTTCGAACAGCCATGCCCGCGGTCATGGGCGGATGTGAGGTGTTTCCCGTAGCGTAGATTTGTTTACCTGTGCTTTGTGAAAAGTTGTTGTGGTTTGGGAATCGTTACCAGAATTAGCCTATGTGGCAGATGGATGACCTGAGTGGTCAAGAAACGAATCTGTGTGATTCGGGATGTCTACAGGGCATCATAGACTAGGCTTCCCGAGTGGAAGCGGATTGTTGTGCTGCTGGGCAGCTGGACTCTGGGAGTCCGAGAAAATGAAAAAGGCTCTGGGAGCCGCCTAATCAAGTGAAATGGCTCCGGGAGCCGAGAAGTAATGATCTGACCCGGGAGGTCGGAACATTACCATTTGAGTTATTGAAAAGCATCTCTTAAAGTTGAATCGAGACACAAGTCTCTTTTCGACCCAAACCTGAAAAGAAATAAATCACTTAGTGGTTTCAAAATGGGTTTCAAACAAAGGATTTGCAAAACAACATTGCCTCTCTTCCAAGCTTGCATCAAACACCTAAGTTCCCGTGACTTGCTGAGTACGAAAGTACTCACCCTTGCTCTATATAAATATATATATATAGTTCTTCCGCCCTGAAGAGAAGATGAAGTGAAGTGAAGCGTAGGGTTTCGTCCTGGTTCCCAGCCGTCGCCTGTGGTGTAGGGTGTTAGTCCGTTTGTTCCGCTGCTGCTGCTTCTGTTGTTGGTGTTTCCTCGTCCGTGTCATCAGTTGCATTCTCGGGCTGTTCTGAGCTGCAACCTAAGTTAAGGTAAATAAGTTCTCTATTTATTATAAGGATTGCAATGATTCATATTTGTTACCGTGGGTACCAGCGCTATGTCCTGGGATTGGTACTGAGATCGCGGTTTCGTAGGAAGCGGTTCGCGCCGTTTTTCCTACGACACGCTCCTGTCAGGTGCCGTTGTACGGCGGTGCCGGATTGGGGTGTGACAGATGGGCGGGTATTGGAGACGCATAGGGGTCAAACACATCCCGCCACCATCTATGTCGCTGCTCGAGCTGTCGTCTCCACCACTACGTCTCTTCTTCAGCAATTCCAGCCGACGCCTATGAGTTTATCGCCACCATATCTTGTTCCTCTTCTCCTGTAGATGTTGTTAGCGTCGTCTCCCTCTTCGACCATGACCTCTCTCCTCGAACTACGACACATTGAATCCCGCAGCCATAAGCTTCGACGTGTCAGATCCAGAAGTCTTCAGCTTCGAGGCCACTCGATCCGTAGTCACAGATTCTAACAGCAATGGTCGCACAACGGGGCCGTAAGGGGGCGAGCTCCGAGCGGCGAGGTCATACAGGTGAGCGATGACGGTTATGAGACGCCAATGCCCGTAATATCTATAGGAGTAAAAAACAAAAGGAAGTTTCTAAATCGTCATTTGGTCGACACATAAGAGACACGTGAATTGAGAATCATGGGAAGAATAAAACACGAGGTGGAACCTCATGCTTATTTTTCTCTAAAGTCTCTATATAATTGTTCATTTGATAGGAACTTTAAAAGAAATTATAGGCCTTAATCCTTTATTTCAATAACCTTGGAATACACCAATTTTCCTATGCTTTTCGTACAATTAAAAAGGCCTTAACTCACATATTTCTCTGAACTGTCAATGGTAGTTCGTTGTGGATTTATATATATTGTGTGATTTATATGCCTGGATCATTAAGATGCGATTACCTGGGTCTTAATTATCGCCTCTCTTAACATGACAAGTTCTGACCATAAGTTACACTAATTTGGAAAATTGTACAATATATATCTACTCTCAAGTACTCCCTCCATATTTTAATGTATGACGCCATTGACTTTTTGTCTAACGTTTGACCATTCGTCTTATTCAAAAAATTTATGTAATTATCATTTATTTTATTATGACTTGATTCATCATCAAATATTCTTTAAGCATGACATAAATATTTTCATATTTGCACAAAAATTTTAAATAAAACAAATGGTCAAACGTTGGTCGAAAAGTCAACGGCGTCATACATTAAAATACGGAGGGAGTAGTTTTTTTTCCTCCAGTAGCTTTATGATCGGCATATGAAATATGACAAAGTACATGTACTTTTTTTCGTTTCACAATGTAAGTCATTTTAGCACTTTCCACATTCATATTAATGTCAATGAATCTATATAGATATATATGTCTAGATTCATTAACATCAATATGAATATGGGAAATGCTAGAATGACTTACATTGTGAAACGGAGGGAGTATTAAATAGAGGACTTTTGGGTCAAAAGAGTGTGTCAATTCAAATAAAGGAAAATAACACGTCACATCCATCACGAGTCTTGCTATATACTCTTACGTCCAAAAAAAAATTTTCAATAATAATTCTAGCTATGAAATTAGACCATATGTATTTAGATTTATAGTTAAAGTTTACCTTTTCTTTTAAGACAGAGTAGTACATACAACCAGCCATGGCATCGTACGAGTAGCATCCCACCGTGCCTCATGACTCGCATCCACCAATCTCTTTGTTCGGCTTTTTTCCATGTGGGTCAAGAAAAACAACAGTCGTGTCTATGCATGAGTTGAGAGCTCGTACGTACACGAGTCTTGCACGTTGGCCGTGCGTATAGCCATTTCGCATCCATCACAGTGTACAGAGTTAACAAAGAAAAGGACTAATCGATCTCACATGGTTTATATATATCACGCACGTACGGCTGACGGCTTTATTCCCACCGGCACAAGTACAAACACTCATATATATATATATATATATATATACACGCACACATGCTTATACGTACATCCACGTATAATTAAGCATGCGAACTGTGTGTGTAAAAATATTGTAAAATACAGTAAAAACAAGGACTACTTACTACGTACACGTACGTACGTAGTCCTCCTGCAGCGCTGGCCGGATCAGCGTACGATAGTAGTATATAAAGTAGCCGTACGTATACTTACTAGTAGCTAGTAGGGAGATTCGCCGTCGACGTTGCCCGGCGGCGAGTAGTTGCAGGTGATGAAGACGCCGAGGCTGTTGTCGCAGACGACGCGGGCGCAGCCGATCGCCGTCGAGTTGCTCCACACCACCTGCGTGTAGTGCCCGCACGAGCTCCCCGCCGGCGCCGAGCAGCTGTTGCTGTCGTGGTCGTACCACTGCTTCTCCGCCACCCACGACGACACCGCGCTCGCCGCCGTCCAGTCCCCGCCGGCGGAGCCCCAGAAGATGTTCTCGCCGTACTTCCCGCCGGAGTCCGAGTGCTCCAGCGCGCAGTCGCCCTGCCGCTGCGCCGCGTAGCTCTCCGCGTACGCCGCCACCGTGTCGTCCCAGCTCACCGGCCCCACCCCGACGTCGGACCTCGCCGCGTTGTGCGCGTCCACGTAGTCCTGCGCCGAGTTCTGCGCCGTCGCCGCCATGGCCGCCGCCGCGAGCACTGCAGCTACTAGCAAGCTGGAGGTTGCCATTTTCGATGCAAAATTAATTAAGCTCTCTAATTGCTAATTAAAAAGGGAATTGATTTGTATGTATGTATGATTAGCTTGTTGCTGGTGTGAGATATATGGCTGTATAAGCTGGGTATTTATAGTGCAAAGTTCGATGACTTTGCAATGTACGTACGCTTCTCGTCAAATTATTTTATTCACAAATTAAGAGGAGCAAATAATTCCATGCACGCGAACGTGACATTTGGGAAATTGAGGTTTAATTTACTTCATATCGATACTTTACGTGGCTACTCGTACATGCTCACAAAAATTAACTAAAGGTGATCAAGATCATTGCCATGTGTTATATATGGTTGAATACGTCGTCGTAGCTCTATAGCGAGATCGAATGACCGACCAAACTACAACTACCACTATCGCCTCACTGCAAGTTGTTGTTTTTTTCCCCTTGTTTCGATCGTCACCTCCATGCAAGTTGTTGATCGATGCATGCATTGGAAAATAATGAGAAAAAGACCTAGATGCCTCTACGAAATCAAGTCTAACACATTCATCTGCAAAACCTGCATCTACATCTCCCAATCGGAATATGCCGATGGTTATACCCCGACCTCAGGATCCCTACTTACAGGTTGTATTTCGATAATGTATGGATCGGCTGATATGAGAATGCAAATGAAATTATAGTGCAAGAGAAAAGGAGACATGGATATTATATAGGTTCAAGGTTTTCGGGATGGATAATAGCCATACTTCTATTGGTCGGAGACCGGTGTTCTCCTCTGATACCAACTGATTGTTGAGATTATAGACATATAATGATTTAATCTATTCCATAAATAAATCATGACATTACAGATGAAAACTAGCATGAACGCATCATTAGATCTATACATGTAAACTACACAGTATAACATGAAAAGATCAAATATGCGCAACATATTGAACACGTACCGAGGTGACGGAAAGACCGGCTGCTTGGTCGAAACTTTTCGCAGGTGTCTACGAAGGCACGAAACACGCGAGCGAAGAGGAAGACGAGCCGTCGCGAATAAACAGGGAGCAGTCGCGCGAAGCGCTTCCCAAAAACCTTATTGCCGCCTTCTCCCGGTGCAGGACGTCGAAGACAGAGGTTCCGGAGACCTGCTCTCCCGATCGCCGGTGCACGCCGGCGAGCGGGATGGAGTAGTCTACGAGCGACGGCGCAGTACAGAGTAGGAGGCAAACCCTAGATTGATATCGCATATGTTGCGTGAAGACGGAAGGTCGGTTTATATAGAGAAGGGTCGCTTGATCAGGGCGCCCGCACGATCTCTACTGCGCGTAACCGAACTGGATAAGTCGCGCGTAACTTATCCGGACTCCACGCCGTTTGCACGCACCGGATTTTTCGGAACGTTTCCAAAACAAAAACGAATTCGAATTTGCAGCAAAACAAAACTGCAAAAGGAGGCTGCATCTGCGCAAGGGTGAGGAGCCAATTTTTCGGACCATTCGACGCGTACGTCGTGCACGCGCGCCGCCGGCCCGGCCCGGCGAGGCGAGGCGAGCGAGCGCGCGCGTGTGTTTCCCCTCTTCTCTCCACCACACATGCTTCAAGTGGCTAGGACGGCATCCTCCCTTTTAAGGAGGTCCCCCTCTCCTAGAATAAGCAAGGTGGTACTAAACTCCACATGCATGCCTTCCCATGAGGTGGGCTTTTGTGATTTTCCAAAGAATTAATCTTCGAGTGGGCTAAGGCCCATTCATTAATTCCAACAATCCCCCACCAAATCTCAAAATCCCACTGAGATTTGCCTTTTTTCCAATATACTGTTTATATACCAGCGGTTCGATGGAGACCAATTAAGGTTGAACATCCACCTAAAACTCCAAGCTACACTTACTCACAACTTGAACAATGGACCACGCCTTGAATTGCAAGTCTTGTGCAAGCAAGTTTCACTCAAAGTCTTATCTGGTACTAGACCGTCTGTAGACTACCCCTCGGGTGGAGCGTATAAGTCATACTCCTAGGTCTTTAGTAAGCTTCCTAGAAGATTCACCCAAAATCTTCTTAGACTGCGACCAACAGTCAAGCTCACAAAGGTGAGTTCTTTCAAGAATGCTCTGCAGGACAACATATTCGCTAATTAAAGCCAACAGAACTCATTAAGGCATAGCCAACCTGCCTTGCAGCTCACGAGAGTATATGCATCTTCACTTGGAGAGGGTATATATATTGGTACTCTCCTCTAGTTTATTAATGGTTTGTTCTTCCCAGGATCTAATTCACGGGATCTCCGATCACATAGACTGGGTTACCACCATAGTATAACTCACATGGGTCTCAAACCCATCTCCTTTGATGCATTGTCTATCACATTTCGTGATAGTCCCTTCGTGAAGGGATCTGCCAGGTTTCTCGCTGTTTGGATGTAATCCAACGTTATAACTCCGGAGTTTCTTAATTTCCTGACAGACTTCAATCGTCTTTTCACATGTCTAGACGATTTCATATTATCCTTAGAACTATTCACTTTGACAATTACCGTTTGATTGTCACAGTTCATAAGGATAGCCGGCACCGGTTTTTCAACAACAGGCAGATCCATTAATAGATCACGCAGCCATTCTGCCTCAACAGTAGCAGTATCCAGTGCCGTTAGCTCTGCTTCCATGGTTGACCTCGTCAAAATGGTCTGTTTGCAAGACCTCCATGAAACAGCACCACCACCCAGTGTGAAAACATATCCACTAGTGGCTTTGATCTCATCCACATCAGAGATCCAGTTAGAATCACTATAACCCTCCAGTACCGCAGGATACCCAGTATAGTGAAGCCCCAATTCCACAGTACCTTTCAGATAGCGCATTACTCGCTCAAGCGCACGCCAGTGATCATCTCCCGGATTAGAGGTAAATCGGCTCAACTTGCTCACAGCAAAGGAGATATCAGGCCTAGTTGCACTAGCCAGGTACATCAACGAGCCAATGATTTGGGGGTATTCCAGTTGATTCCTTGCAATTCTCTTGTTCTTGCGAAGCAACAAGCTAGGATCATAAGGTGTTGGAGAAGGCTTACTATCAATGTAGCCAAAACGATTCAAGATCTTCTCCACATAATGGGACTGCAAGAGTGTAATCCCATTCTCACCTCTAATTAGCTTAATGTTTAAGATAACATCAGCTACTCCCAAATCCTTCATATCAAAATTTTGAGACAAGAATGATTTAACCTCATTTATCACCTCAAGGTTTGTCCCAAATATCAGTATGTCGTCAACATACAAGCACAAAATAACTCCCTCACCCCCACCATGGCGATAGTACACACATTTATCTGCCTCATTGACTGCAAAGCCTGCAGATGTCAATGTTTTGTCAAATTTCTCATGCCATTGCTTAGGAGCTTGTTTCAGACCATACAAAGACTTCAACAATTTGCACACTTTGCCTTCTTGACCTTCAACTACAAACCCATCAGGTTGATACATATAGATCTCCTCATCCAGCTCTCCATTAAGAAAAGCTGTCTTAACGTCCATTTGATGAACGAGAAGACCATGTGAGGCTGCTAGGGAAAGTAGCACACGAATTGTGGTCAATCTAGCAACAGGTGAGTAAGTGTCAAAGAAATCTTCGCCTTCTTTCTGAGTATAGCCCTTAGCAATAAGCCGAGCCTTGTACTTTTCAATAGTACCGTCAGGCCTAAGCTTCTTCTTGAACACCCACTTGCACCCCACAGGTTTACACCCATAGGGTCGCTCTGCAACCTCCCAAGTCCCGTTAGCGATAATGGAATCCATTTCACTACGGACAGCCTCCTTCCAGTAGTCTGCATCAGGAGATGCATATACTTCTGAAATTGACTTAGGAGTGTCATCCACGAGGTACACAGTGAAATCATCACCAAAAGACTTAGCCGTCCTTTGTCTCTTACTCCTTCGAGGAGCTTCACTGACATCCTCCTCAGAGACAAGTTCATGTGTATGTTCAGTTTATTCTGGTGGTGTGATTGAACTGGGAATTATTTCAGAGGGTTGGTTCGAACCACTATGTGTATCCTTCATTGGGAAAAAGCTCTCAAAGAAGGTAGCATCACGAGACTCCATAATTGTACCAACATGCATGTCCGGTACCTCGGATTTAACTATTAAAAATCTATAGGCAATGCTATGATGAGCATATCCCAGAAAAACACAGTCCACAGTCTTAGGTCCAAGTTTGCGCTTCTTCGTTATTGGTACATTGACTTTCGCCAAGCACCCCCATGTGCGCAAATAAGAAAGTGATGGTTTTCTACCAATCCATATCTCATATGGTGTTTTGTCCTTATTTCTGTTAGGAACTCTGTTTAACACATGATTTGAGGTCAACAATGCCTCCCCCCACCATGCCTTAGGCAGTCCCGCGGTGTCCAACATGGCATTCACCAAGTCAGTCAGTGTGCGGTTCTTCCTTTCAGCAATCCCATTAGACTCGGGAGAATAGGGAGGCGTCCTCTCATGTATGATGCCATGTTCCTCACAGAATAAGTCAAACTCGTTCGAGAAAAACTCTCCACCACGATCAGACCTAAGCCTTTTTATCTTTCTGTCAAGTTGATTTTCAACTTCTGCCTTATAAATTTTAAAATAGTCTAGAGCCTCGTCTTTCGTTTTCAACAAGTACACATAGCAAAATCTAGTAGCATCATCAATCAATGTCATGAAATATCGTTTTCCACCCTTCGTCAACACCCCATTCATTTCACAAAGATCTGAATGTAGGAGTTCTAGTGGTGCCAAGTTTCTCTCCTCGGCAGCCTTGTGAGGCTTGCGAGGTTGCTTCGATTGCACCCAACTATGGCACTTAGAACCTTTGACAATGGAAAACTTAGGAATTAAACACATACTGGAAAGCCGAGACATCAAGCCAAAATTAATATGACATAAACGTGAATGCCAAACATTAGCCTTATCATCCACACTGCCACAAATATGGTTCACAGACTTATTGCAGAAATCAGAAAGGGAAAAGCGGAACAGGCCTCCGCACTCATAACCTTTACCAATAAAATATCCATGTTTAGACACGACTACTTTATTAGACTCAAAAACCAACTTAAATCCGTCTCTAGTCAGACGGGAGCCACTAA